GGGGTCGGATCCAGCCCTGTCCACGTGGCGTAACGACTGAGCCGCCCCCGGGCCCGGCCCCTACCTTCCGAGACAGCGTTGATGTTGTCCAGAGCGCTCTGTGCCGACTTGAAGGGCGCGAAGGCGGCGAGACGCACCAGGCTGTGGAACTTGCCGATGTTGAGCACGCTCTGCTCCACCTGGGGGGCAGACCCGGGCTGGGCAGGATGCTGCCCCAGGAACCCCCCCGCGCCCCGGGGGGTCTCCCCCTCCCGGCCCCTCCAGTACCTGGGGCAGCAGCAGCGCGACCTCCTCCACCTCCTTAAGCGCGAAGAGCGCGTAGCCGGCCGCGTGCTCGAACAGCACGTGCAGCAGCACCTGGGGGCAGAGGGCAGGGGTCGCGGGGAGAGAGGTCGGGGGGCGCGGAGCTCACCGGGACCCCCCCGGTCAGGCCGGGCACCCCGGGGAAAGGGGGGGGAGAATGAGGGCGAACAAAGGTCCCACGTACCATCCTGCCTCGCCCACGATCACCACACGACTAAGCGCGGCGCCAACCGGAAGCCGAGGCAACCCAGCCGGAAACCAGTTGGCAAGCCAATGAGAGAACGGGAGGAGCCCTCGGAACCCGCCCTTCCCCCTCCACTGGCCAATGGGAGCGCGAGACCCGAGAGCAACCAATGGTAGAACGATGGGTGGGAAAACCCGCCCTTCCGCGCCCGCGGCCAATAGGGCGGTGAGGTAGTTGTTCCGGTCGCGCGTGGCGCCAATGGGAGGGGCTGAAAGGCCGTTCTGAGCCCGCCCCCAGGACGGCGCCTTTTGGCGCCGGAGCGCGGGGTCTCCCGGGGACCACGCAGGGGCGCACGTGGTCGGGAAGAGGGGGTCCGGGGCTGGCAGCGGGTGGGGGACGATCCGGGCGGGGCGGTGCCCGTGCTGGCTGTCCCCTCCTGCCCTTTCTGGCCCACGTGTCAGGGGCGTTTCGGGCGCTGGTGCTGCGGCTGGGCTCGGCCAGTGCTCCTGCTGCACGGACCCCGCAGGGTCTTGGCCCCGTGCCCTGGCTCAGCACTGGGGCAGGAAGGGATTTGCCCCTGCTCAGACTGGTCGCACTGACACGTTTCCCCTTCCTCTGCAGCAGGGGGCGCAGCCTGGTCTGGGCACTCTGCAGCGCCCATGACGGCCCCGGCAGCCGTGGCCCCCCTGGTATCCTGGGACTGTGCCATATCAGACACGGTTTGTCTGGACGCGGCCGATGCTGCCTCAGGCAGGGCTGTCTGGACGTGTCTGTCTTATCACAACTGAGCACAGAAGCCCTCCCGCCGACGCGCCTCATTTGTAAGCCGAGCAGGCCTGGCCAGGAAGCCCCTCGGTCCCATCCCGCGGGAGGTTCGGCTGCACCGCAAAGGCCTTGGGGGGCGCAGGCTCTGCCGCGGGGCGGGGGGGCAACAAAGGACTCGGGGAGCAAAAAGGCAGATTCAAAGGAAGAACGGAGCCAAACAGATTGGGGAGGGAAAGGCCAGAGGTTGCTTAAGGGAAGCTAATGAGGCTATTCAAATTCAACAGGGAAAGAGCTGGAAAAGCCCAAGCTTAGCAGGATGCAAGCTCCAGGTACCAGGGAATGCAGCTGCCCGGAGCCAGAAACAAGCTGCGGGTGTCGGGGCCTACTGACAGGCCGGGCCAGGGGCAGCCCCACTGGAAGCTCACAGGCCTTCCCCTCTCCTAGCACTGTAGGAGCACGCCGAGCTGCGCTGGCTCCTGTTGCAGGCGACGATCCCCTCGGACCGAGCACGAAGCAGTTGTTCTCCGCATCGCACCCGAGCGCCAGGAAGCCGGCAGCAGGCAACGGCCTCGGAGAGCACCTGGGCCTGGGCAGCCTGACCGCCAAGAGTGACAAGGAGCAGGAGGCACCCCCGGGCAACACGGCCCCCCGGGGCTGGGGGCATGGATGCCGGATCATCCCTCGTTTGGAGCGTGGGGCTCAGGCCCTGGCTCTGCTGGGACCCCAGTGCGGGGACCCACCAAGCCCCATCCAAATGGTGAAGCTCTTATGAGCACTGGGGCTCTGTGGGCAACAGGCTGCACCCAGCAGCACTGCCCCTGCCTGGGGGAGCTGGTGCTGTTGTCCAGCCCCATGGGCTCTGCCCCCCTCACCCCAGAAGCTCAGACCAAACCCAGCTGCCCCTCGTGCCACACCAAGGCACGTGCCCATTTCCCCTCTTTCACGGCCCCTGGAAGGGCTGAGCCCCGCCAGTGGCCTCGTAACCAGCTGAAGAGCAGCTGCCCCTGAATGGGAGGCAGAAGGACAGAGCCAGACTTGGCGGGTGGAACAGGTGAAGCTTTATTGGTTTGAGAGCTCTAGTGCTAAGGGGCCGTTACAGGAGAGGAGTGCTGCAGCCCCAGGCCTGCAGGCCCAGGGGCCTGTGCTCCGCCACCCCTGGGCGGGTGGAGGCAGCATCCAGCTGGGCAGGGTCTGGATGGGAGCTCCCCCACAGGCAGTGTAGTGTTTGGAGCCGAAGCACCTCCCCACCCCTCCCGCCGGCTGTGCACACCCCATCCACCAATGCAACAGGTGGGAGGAAGCTGCAGCCCAGCCCCTCCATGCCACCAAAGCCTGACCCGAGTGCGCAGAGCCTCCTGGCCCAGCCCCACATCCCCCGTGCACGGGTCTGGGAGCTGGGTGTGATCCCTGGACACCTGTGCATGCAGGGAGGAGCTGCTGGAGGAGGTGCGAGAGGGCTGTGCACGGGGAAGCTGCGGCTCTGGCCACTTCCATACAGAAGAGGCAGCCGCAGCGTTTGCCTGGGGGGGGACGTGGGAGCCGCAGTGGTCACGGTAAGTCGAAGCCAGCCCCGGCGCAGGGAGGCCAGTGCTTGGCCAGAGCTGGGGCACACAGGCTAGTGGCGCCAGAAGGAGGCTGTCCCGCTCGGACGGGGGACGTGCAATGGGCCTTGGTCTGTCCTGGCCCAGCTGGGTCCCTAGGAGATGAGGCGGCTGTGCAGCGCATGCAGCTGCTCTGGCGTCAGCACCAGCCGGTGCACCTGGCCATGGCCAGGTGCACACGGGAAGGACACTTTGCCGATGTAAACCGTGTCGGCGGCTGCCTCCTCCTTGGCCTGCAAGACAGGAGTGAACAGAGGTTCAGGGCAGGCAGCGCTCCTCCAGGCCAGCCCCAAGCCCCAGCAACTGCCGTCGTCCACACAGAGCCCAGGGCTGGCAGGACTGTGGGGGCATCTAGCCCAGCCCCTGACCTGTGCTGATCCAGCCGCCAGGAGGGAGGTCCCCCTGCCCCAGGCTAGACAGCGAGGAGGTGGCTCTGGAGGTCCAATCCTGGCCTGCCTTGCTGCCTTCTGTGAGTCCTGCCCTCTGCAACGAGGGAAAGTGGCTCTGCCTCTTCTCCTGGGCAGCCCGCCAGATACGCGAGGGCTGCAGCCTCGTCCCCTTCTACCCACTTTCTCCCCAAGCTGCACATGGCCTCAGCTTCTCCCCAGACACCCACTCCCAGCTCCTTCAGCACTTAGAGCCCAGAGGTGGGCAACAAATGCAAGGTAAGGGGAGAGCTGGGCTGGAAGGGGCCTTGCCAGGGCACTGGTCCAGCCCCTGCTCCAGGCAGGATCAGTCCCAACAACCCTCCCAGCCAAGGGGCTGTGAACTGCCAGGGATGGAGACCACCGTGTCTCTAGGGGCCTGTTCCAGTGCTTGACTCCATCAGAGACAGCACCTTCCTCATCCCCTGCCTCAGCTTCCCCTGCTGCAGCTGGAGGCCATTGCTCCTAGTCCCCTGTCCCCTGCAGCCACAGAGAAAAGCCCGTCTCCAGCCTCTTTGCCATGGCACTTCACGGATTTGCAGCCTGCGATCAAACCCCCTTCAGTCTTCTCTCCTCCAGACTCAATCCCCCCAGCTCCTCCACCCTGTGCTCATCTGTCCTGCCTCCCAGACCCTTGATCATTTTGGTTGCTCTGTGCTGGACTCTTCCAGCCTGCCCACATCCTCCTGGAAATGCCAGGCCCAGAACACCCCCGTCTTTAAAGTAAACTCTAGTTCAGGCCTCACCAGCACCAAGTGAGCAGCACCGTCCCTCCCCTCCTTCGCACCTAATGCTCCAACTCGTGCGGCCCCAAAACTGCACTTGCTTTTTGGGCACCTGCAGCTGTGGATCCTCCAAACCCTGCAACGCTCTGCAAACACTTCTCTCCCCACAGCCCTGCTGGCCTGACTGGTCTCCTCTGGCTGACACATTCTTCAGGCGTTGGCAGAGCCCCCGGCACAGACCGCCTCAGTGCGGAGGCAGCCGTGCTCCCTCTGAGCTCCAGCCTGCCAGCGTGACCTCCCCCACCAGAGTGTGGGCTCCTACCTTCAGGAAGGAAGAAGAGGGGAAGGTGGCGAAGTCGGTTGGGACACTGGCCCCAGGGTGCTGCAGGACTGTCTCCTTCATCACTTCGTCCTGGGGGAGAGAGAGCAAGCCAGCATCACCCCTCGGGAGCTGCAACTCTGGCACCCAAGCAACCCCCCACCCCCACTGGTTCCTGGGCACGGCACCCCGAGGAGGGGCTGGGAGAGCTAAGCCATGCCCCATCCTGCCCCAGGAGCTGCCCCCGGCTGAACACCTGGGCCAGCGCAGGCCCCATGTGTCTGAGTACGTCTACACTTCCCATCACAGGCCGAAGGAAGGTTTGTTCCCAGGAAGGGCTATGATCCGGTCTCCCATCAGGCTGGGAGGACTGAGTGGGGCAAGCCCTGGGTCAGTGGTAGAGGATGCAAGTCCTCCGGGGATGGGGCCGGGGTCCCTGCTCACTGCCCCAACACCGGACCTTGTCGTGCATCCACAGGTGCATCTCGAGTAGAGCCAAGGAGGTGATCCTCCCCCTCTACGCGACGCTGGTCAGGCCACAGCTGGAGTATTGTGTCCAGTTCTGTGCGCCCCATTTCAAGAGGGATGTGGACAATATGGAGAGGGTCCAGAGGAGGGCCACCCGCATGATCCGGGGACAACAGGGCAGACCCTACAGTGAGAGACTGCAGGACCTGAACCTATTCAGCCTCCACAAGAGAAGGCTGAGGGGGGACCTGGTGACCGTCTATAAACTCACTAGGGGGGACCAGAAGGGTTTGGGGGAGACGCTGTTTCCCCTAGCGCCCGCTGGCATAACAAGGAGTAATGGGCACAAGTTGATGGAGAGGAGGTATAGATTGGACATCCGCAAAAACTACTTCACAGTTAGGGCGGCTAGGAGCTGGAACCAACTTCCAAGGGAAGTGGTGCTGGCCCCTACCCTGGGGGTCTTTAAGAAGAGGCTGGATGCCTACCTGGCTGGACTCGTTTGAGTCCCATTTCTCTTTTTGGGGTTTTTTGTTGTTCTCCCGCCCTGGCGGGGGGTCGGGCTAGAAGATCTACTAGGTCCCTTCCGACCCTTAATCTATGAATCTATGAATCTATGAAACCAGCAGATCACAGGGCTGGGTCAGGCCTGCGTTACCTTCAGCTTGTCGATGGTGTCGCTCAGGGATTTCAGACGGGCTGTCTGCTCCAGGAGCTGTGCTGCTGGGTTCCCTGCTGCTGAGGGGGGAAAGAGAAGTGAGGGGGAGCCTGCAGCAGGGCCTCAGCCTCATCCAGCAATTCTCCAGCCCTGCTGGCCCAAAGAACCTGACAACTCGCCCCCAGTTACCCCTAGCAAGGGCCTGGCCCATGGGGAGCTGCAGGGACACTGGACACGCTTTCCATCACGACATTGGAAGCGGATGGAGGCCCCAGTCATGAGCAAGCTGTCAGCCGACCCGCTGCGTTCCCTCAGCTCCCTGCCCACCAGAACCACCCCTGCATCGAGGGGTCTTCTGGGAGTGCCCCAGGAACCTCGGGGGGCTTCAAACAGAGTGGGACGGGGGGGCAGAGCCAGCCCCACACTCCTGTAAGAACCTCGGAGCTGCACTGGACTGGGGCAGACTCGGTCTCCCCATCATGCAGCGGCAGAGAGTGGAGGCTGGAATGGCAGCAGCAGAGAATAGGAGCGGTTGGGGCAGAGCAGGGCTTTCCCCCGTTCCTCTCCCCCTGCAGCCTCCAGCACTGAGGTCCAGGTAGGGCTGATGTAGAGGCCGTGCCCCTAGCTGACTGCTCCAGAGCCACTGATGCCCCTTTGCTCCAAGCCCTGGTGAATCTGGCCTAGCTCTCAGCTTCCCCCACATTTGGGGGCAACGAGCTTCACCCTTTAATTACACAGTGCGAGAAAGAACTTCCTGGTGTTGACGGCCTGCTCATGCCATACTGTGCCCCCTTGTTCTTACCTGGTGAGAGACAGTTGATAATAAGTCCCTAGTGACTTTCTCTTCCCTTTTCATGTCCCCCCTCCAGCGTCTCTTTTCTACCCTGACCAGGCCTGGCCTCATAGTTTCTCCTCACATGGAAGCCCCTCCATAGTGCTCATCGTCCTTGCTGCCCTTCTCTGCACCTTCCCTATGACCCCTGACACCATCCATCCCCAACACAGGAGGCTGCAGCCCTGGACCCCACAGAGGAGCAGCAGTGGGGTCCCACGTGGACCTACCTGACTTCTTGCGCGTGATGTCCACCACCCTGGCATTGGCACTCATCTGATAGAGGGTCTCCAGCAGCTGGTTTGTCTTCCGGTACAGGGAGCCAGAGGCCATCTCATCTCCCTGCCGGTCTTTGGGCAGAGAGAGCTTGGGCACGTGCAGAGGCGGTAGCCCCGCCAGGTCTGTCTTCATCTGCGTGCCCTGGGAAGCAAGGAGCAGCGACATCACTGGTGGGGCCAGCTTCCCCTGGCCCCCAGTGCCCAGCTGTGTGGTGCAGTCTCTGCCCTGCTGGAGGGCAAAAAGGGAACCAGGCCCTTCCCCAATCAGTCAGATAATGACACAGGACAAAAGGTAGCAAATGCAAGGACCCAATGCTCCATCTCCAGGACACCATCTGCGCAGATACCTCTCTCCACCCCTTCCCATGGTGAGGAAGAGCCCCTGCCTTATACCCTAAGAGCCTGCTCTTGATTAATACAGCCTCCTCGCAAGCCAGCGATTCTCAACCAGGCACCCTGGGTGCTACAACCTGCATCAAAAGGGTAGCACTACTAGGAGCACAGACAGTATTCACCAGCTAAGCCCAGAGATTATAGAAACCCACAGCTAGGATCTCCGAGTTCTCTGCAGCAGAAAAACAGCCCTTGGAGAGAGCGAACATAGAGCTGGTGTTTCCCAAGCAGGCGCGAGTCTATCCAGGGGTCCCTCGAGTCAAAAAAGGTTGAGATCCATTGCTCTAGGCAAGGGAGCCCTGGGATTTCCCTGCCCTGCAGACCCATGGTCTCCAGAATCGCCGGTCTGGGCCTCAGCAGCGCTGACAGCTACAGGGGCAGATGGACCCTGGCTCCCATCTCTGTTCCAGGGCATGTGACACTCACACCCTGTGTGTTACTCCTGAGACACAGGGAACTGCAAGAGGGTGTCTTGGCTGCTGGGGCTGTGCAAGCCCCTCTCAGAGGGGATGCGGGAGGCTTCTCAGCCTTACCGGCCACCTGCTTTGGGACCCCTGCGGCAGCTGCTTTTTGCTCCAGATGAAGCCGAGCCAGCCTGGCCTTGGCCCCCGCTTGGATTTTCCTTCCCCAGCAGGCTCCTGCTATTCCTCAGAGGGAGCGAGAGCTGGTTGGGGCACAGGACTCTGTTGCAGAGCCTGCGCCCGGCCAGGCACACAGGAGCCCCCCCAGCTCCTCACCTTGATCAGGTTGTTCTCGTTCTTGAGGTACTTGATGGAGAGGCGCATGGCATCAATCTGCTGCAGCAGGAGGGGCGAGTCCTTCACCTGGATGGGCCCTGAGCCCCCCACCATGGCTTGGCCGGCGCTGACACCTGCACATGGGCAAGAAGGGCAATGCCATGAGGGGGAGGGCAGATTGGCTGCAGCTGGCTCGTGGCAGGACAAGGGGGAGAGGCTGCCTGCGTCAGGGTGCAGCAAGAACCGCCCCCAGGCTCCCTGCACCGAGTCCAGCATAGTCCACCACGCCAGCAGACTGGGACCTCAGTGGGTCACACTTGGACAAGCAGATGGCGAGCAAGGTAGCCGGGTGTGAACAGCATGGCACTGAGCCACACACCCCGTGCATCATGGCCCAGGCGAGGCTGGACAGAGCTGCCCCTGCACCAGATGCTCCTGAGGGACCCCCCCCATGCAAGGGTGTACGATCCCCATCGCCCGCTTGCCTCCCTGGGTGCGAGATCTGCTCCTGCCACCATGATTTTCATAAAAACATAAAAATGATCATTGATAGGCTCAGACCCCAGGTCTGTCGTGCCCAGTCTCCTATGCCACATAGAAGCACAGAGTGGAGGCTGGAGGGAGAGTGACTGGGTCTGAGCAGGGATTTCCCATTTGTCTCTCCCTTGCAGCCTCCAGCATTGAGGGTGCAGGCAGGTCTGATGCAGAGGCCATGCCCCTCACTCCCTGCTCTGCATGCAGATCTTCCACCTGGAGCTGTGAGGTGCTGGAGCTGACAACAGCTGTCCCTGGACAGGACCCTGGATGGACCTTACAACCCACCCCAGGGCCCCATGCTCAGATGTTCGTGGAAACCTGCCCCCTCTCCATGCAGGCCCCTTTTGGGGTCCCAGGGGTGTGGAGAGCTGGCATGTGGGTGAGCAGGCTGGGCAGTACCGTACCTCTCTGCTGTTCCTCTGCTGGACAAGGAGGGGAGAAGAAAGCAGAAGAGAGAGAAGAAGCAGAAGTGAGAGCTGAGGAGAGAGGCTCAGGTGCAGCTCTGGCTAGCAAGGCCAAAGAACAGCCCAGAAAAAACAGCCCAATCCCACCCACATTCGCTCCCTGTCCGAGGGCTCAACCGGTCTCGACCTCACAGCCCTAGCAGCTCTGTGACAGCCACAGCCACGGTCACGGGCTCGTGTCACCCAATGCAGCTTTGCTGAGAGGCTGGATGTGGGGCTTGTCTGGGCTGGTTTGGACAGGGCTGATCCTGGCTCAGGCAGGGCTGGGACTGGATGTGACCTGCAGGGGTCCCTGCCAGCCCACATCTCTGTGACTGTGATTCAGTGCACGCTCCGACAGGCACCAACGCAGGACCTGAGCACCAGGGCAGGAGAGTGGGTGAGTGCAGCCAGTGCTTGCAGCAGTTACCATGGGAGCCCGTCTGACCAGGATGAGCTGGCAACCTCCTGGGGGTCCCTGTGAAGGGCTGAACTGCTCCCCACTGCCCTCAGCACTCCCCTCTCCCAAGACTGCACACCAAGTGGCTGCCACGACTGAGAGCTGTGGCTTGAGGGGGGACAGATACCAGAGGGCCAGGATCCCACAGCATCATCAAGAGCACGGAGCTGGGCCAGGCGCAGGCTCGTGCCTCCAGCACCCGCTTGGCTCTGTGCCTTGGGGAGCTCCCTTCCCTGTCACCCCTGGGTAGCACATGGGAGCGTGAGCACGAGGCACTGCCCGGCACCAAGGACAGCTGCCCCCTGCATGCAGCCATGAGCAGAATGCATGGATGCGTGCAGCCTGAGAGACTGGGGACCCTCCCGGCACAAACGCAACACCTCTGGGAAGCAGAGACACCATAGTTCTCCTGCTCACCAGCTGGCTGCACCCACAGGCCAAGTGAGAATCACGCAGGGTGTTTCAGCTCTATGCAGCTGGAAGGCAACACTCGCCTGCCAGGATGGGCATGTTCAAAGGAAACCCGGGGAGCCCGTGAGACAGCCCCTGCCCACCACAGCATGTGGCTCTGCTGAGCTCCACAAAGGCCAAGAGAAATGCATGGCCTCTTTGGTGCCTTGTTGGTGCAGCCTCCCGGCCTGGGGATGCTGCTTCAGCACCAAGGAAGGAGCCCAGTCCCCCAGCAAGCACCCAGACAACCTGGCCCCACACTTTAGCACTGTGGGGCAGGCTCTCCTGTCCCCCTGCAGGGGCGGGGGCAATGCCCCCAATGCATCCCAGGGAGCAGAGGGCTCTGAGGCTGTGGCTGTATTGCTTCCTGCCCCACCCAGCAGGCCCCAGACCCCGAGATGAGGTGGGGAATACCCAGGGGCCTCTTGTGGCTGAGGACACAACTTAAGAGTGGTGCTGGGGGCCTCTCCCGCCTCGTCTCTGGGCTCAGTGGGTACAGAGAGCAGGTGGGCGAGCCTGCTCAACTGCGAGACAGACAGCTAAGCCCAGTGCAGAGCAGGGAGGGGCTGCAGCTGATGGGCAGGGTCAGGGGTTCTCTCTCTTCCAGGGCTCCGCACCCTTGGCCTTGTGCTCCTGCCCCAATGTCCAGGCACCATGGAACGGCCATGGGAGCTCGCCTATGGGCAGGGGGCACACAGACAGGGCACTCACCTCCCGTGATGCCGGAGACGATGGAGGCAATGCCAGAGGCAGGAGCGCCGCGCAGCCCCTCGATGGTGCGCTTGGACTGGTTGTTCAAGCGCTGCTTGAGCTCCAGCTTCTCTGCCTCCAGCTGGTCGATGTCCGCTTGAAGGGCGTCCATGGTCTCCTCAAACTCCCTGCAGGGGGGACACAGCCACGGGCCCATTTGAGATGTTCCCAGCCTTTCTCCAGAGAAGTCCTGGCCGGGCCCCCTGCCCCAATTATGCACTCCTGCTGACCCCAGCAGAGGGGTCCTCCAGTAACACATGGAGCTCATCCAGCAATCTGTCACCTCGCACATGGCTGGGTCACTCGCCCCCTGCCCCTCTGCAGCCTCCCATTTCTCCCAGGTCTGTCAGGCAGACATGTTCCTTTCCCCGAGACTTGCGGTTTACTTGGTAAGACCGTGGAGTTCACATGCTGCAAGCTAACACCTGTGTCAGGCAAGAGGTGGGCAAAGCAAAGCCGTGGGGCATGCAGGAAGCACCTTTTGCCCACGCCTTCCCTAGGAGAGCGCTAAAGACACAGCTCCTCTTAAGAACTGCGCCCGGGCCCAGCCCCACCCAGCCCCTCCCTGCCAGTGACATTTCAGGGAGTATTTAAGCCTCCGCCAGAAGCACTGGTGCTGCTGCAGCCCAGGCTGGGGATGGGGCTGGGCTGTGCCAATGCTCCTGCCGAGACCAACTCCGCAGGGTCTTGGCTGGAGGGCCTTGCCCCTGCACTCAGGCTCAAACCAATGCTGCACTGGGACAAGAAGGGATTTCCCCCCTGCTCAGACTGGTCCAGACTGGGGGGTTTTGCCTTCCTCTGCAGCAGGGGCACGGCCTCAGCCTGGGGAGCATCTATGAATCCCCCACCCCACCTTGGCAGCCGCAGGAGGTTGGCAGCCGTGGTCCTCCTGCTTTCCCACGGGTGGGGGCAATGCCTGGAGCTGTGTCAAGGCTGAGGGTAGTCTTATGTAGAATTTAGCTGATGGGTTTGTCTGGGCTGGTTCCTGATCCTGCCTCAGGCAGGGGGTGGACTAGACATGCCCTCTGCTGGTCCCTGCCAGCCCCACAACTCTGTTTTCCTATGTCCTGGACCTCCGCTTATCTCATACTACACTCTGTACTAACCAAGAGCTGATCCCAACTGTGGGTGCAGAGGACCTGGTCCATGGCCCCTCCCACGGCAGGTGCAGCCCGTTAGCCCCACCCAGCCAAGACAGCCTTGCCCTCACTTACTTTTCCTTCTTCTTCAACAGTGTCTGGGTCTCATCCAGCTTGGTCTGGATCTTCTCCACCCGGTCGTCCGCATCCTTGGATGCGCTGTCCAGCTTCTTCTCTAGGAGACTGAGACGCACGTTTGCCTCGCTCAGCTCCTCGCCCTGCAGGGGGGGAGGGTTGGACGTGGTGCACTCAGGCCCAGGGGGAGAGACAGCACGAGGGGAAGGAACTGCAATGCCTGGGGAACCTCTCGTCACTCCCTGCTTTCCTGCTCATGCTCCACATGCAGCCCATGACCGCACACGGCATCACTAGCACCTGAGAACGGGTTACATGCTTGCAACAGCTGTCTCAAAGGAAAGCCGCTGCAGGTCCTTCATGGCTGAGCCCCCAGGCAGCTTGCGTCCCCCGCTGGCCTCTGAGCAAGACCAAAAGGAGGCAGAGCCCAACAGGCAGCGAGCCAGGAGAGCACCAGGAAGGGGGAGCGGGGTGCCCAGAGGAGGGAGACTCTGCACTGGCCCTCAGGCAAGATGGAGGCTTGGCAGCAGGCCAGGGCTGAGCTCACCTTGATCTTGAGTGATTTCTTCAGCTCCTTGATGACTGTCTCCCTGTCCTCCAGCTTCAGCCCTAGCCCCTCGGCATCCGTGATCTCTGCCCGCAGTGCGGCTGCCCGCAGGTCAACGGGGGGAGCAGGCTGCAGTGGAAGCCAAGGGTGGTCAGACAGTGCAGAGCAGGGGGATAGGGGGCTCCCTGGGAACGTCCCCTCAGACCTGGGCCCTGCAGACAGTTGCCTGAACCCGCCACAGCCCAGCCCAGGGGGGTTGGCTCAGTGTGGGGGCAGCGTCAGAGCCTCCATGCCCCTCGCCATGCTGGATGCCACACAGCTGGGGCCACTCGCTGACAGGAGCTGTGAGCACTCACACAGCCCCAGCCCAGCCAGGCCAGGCTTGGACCCAGCATCTCCCTGCTGCTGCGAGCACCCCTTCCCTCTTCACAGGGCACACTGGCCCCCCTCAGCAAAGCCGAGGTCTGGAAACAATGCACACCACACCTCCCTCAGTCCTTCCTCTCTCATACCAGGAGGGCCTGCAGTTTCACCTCAGCCAGCCCCAACCCCAGGAGACCCTCCCCATACCAGTGCCAATGGTACATGGCCCTTGCCCAGGGGCGGAGGAGACAGGCCCAGCCCTACCCACCTTGATCTGCGGCCGGTCAGCGTCGTACTCCCCCTCCTGCATGGCAGTGGCCATCTTGTTCATGGTGGCGATGAGGATGCTGCAGGACTGCCGCAGGCACTCATACGGGTTGATGCCCTGGGCACCGTAGATCTGCAGGGATGGGGAGAAGGTCACCCTACTTCCTGAGGTGCTCCTGTGCCAATGGCGCTGCTACCACTGCAGCCACATGCCCTGCTACGGCTGCTGCCCTCAGGCGGGCCATGGGGCACAGAACACAACAGAACACACCCCTCCAAAGAGGTGGAGGGGAGACATGATGGAGAACGGGTGGCAGGCAGGTCATTGACAGGTCCCCAGTCTCTGCTCGTGTTGCCCAGCTCACTGTGAAAGGGCTTCCAAACGAGGCACATGGAGACCCAGCATCTCTCAAGCGAAGGGGTGGCAGGTCCCCGGGGGTAGGGGTGTGTGGGGAAGCTCCCACCTGCTCGCTGGCTTTGAAGGCCAGGTCTTCCAGCTTCACAGCCAGCAGCCCTTCGTTCTCCGTCAGGGGGGCGATCATCTGGGCCCCTGCAGCTGCCACTTCCTGCAGCACGGCGACCACCCAGGTCAGGTGCTTGCGGCAGTCCAGGAGCGTGTCCGACACCTGGGGAGAAGAGCAGCACACAGCCATTAGGGAATCCACTCTCACCTGGTGTCCCCAGCACAGCAGAATGGTAGCTCTTGCTCCCCAGGTCTGCCAGGTGCCCCAGCTCTGAGCTGCATGCCTCCCCTCTTGCTTTATCCCTCTGCTAACAATCGCTGAGAGCAGCCTTATGGGAGTAGCAGCTGGCAAGGCAGCAAGGCCTCAGGTTGGTAGGACAAAGGAGCCACCTCCCCTCTGGCCTGGCCTGCTGTGGCCCTTGCCTTTCCTCCTCCCAGCTCTGTAGCAAGCTGGGCACAGCAAGGGTTGGTGTCTGCCAGCCAGGCAGGGACTTTGCTGCTTTCCAGGCCCCATGAAGGAAAACTCAGTTATCAGGAGAAGTTATCACTTCTTCTCACAGTGATGATGTTTGACGGAGGCCAGCACTGGTGCTGGGAGGCAGAGTCAGAAGCAGAAGCCAGGGCTCTCCTGACTGCTGGCTTTACACTCCGGCCACTGGACTCCACTCCCATGACCCTGCCTTTCCTCTCACGCTCCCCTTCTGCGCATGCCTTCCCACAAGATGCAAGGCGTGCCGAACTCTAAGGTCACATTATCCCTCCATGCTCCGAACACGACTATTGAGAAGCTGCCCCGAGATGGACGTATTTTAACTGACCTGAGTGCAGAACAAGAAACCACCCTCAGACACAACTGCATCAGCCCACAAGCCCAAGGAAGACTGCGAGTTCCTGGTTACCTGGACTAGCTGCTTACTCAGGATCCCCCAGGGTGTCAACTGCCTCATCTCAGCCAACCTAATCCAGTCCACCCTTTTCCTCTCTCAGCCGGGTCCCCTCCCCATCTCTCTTTCCCTACTATAGAAAACCCTTTCTGCCACTCCTTTCATAGCATCTGAAGCAGTAGATGGCTGCCTAGGAAAGCTCCAACCTCTCTAAACCAGTTAATCTCCAAGGTGCTGCCCTTCCTGACACCAGATGAACAGGCCACCACCTCCCCTTTCAGAGTCATAGAAAAGTGGGGCCGGCAGGGACCTGCAAGGTCACATCTAGTCCAATCCCTGCCTGAGGCAAAATCAGCCCTGTCCAAACCAGTCCAGACAACCATAACCTAAACTCTTCATCAGACTGCCCTCAATCCTGACACACAAAGACCTAGCACCCTGGCCTGCTGCAGGTAAAGCAGGAGGACCACAGCAGCCAACGTCCCGCTTCTATTAAATGTTGTTAATGGATGCCAGAGACCCCAGGCCGAGGCCCTGCCCCCACTGCAGAGGAAGGCAACTCTCCCCAGTCCAGACCAGTCTGAATGGGGGGGGGGGAATCCCTTCCTGCCCCCAGTGCGCAGTGTCGGTCTGACCCCAAGTGGAAGGGCAAGACCCTCCAGCCAGGAACTTCCAGCTTTGTTCCTAGCAGGAGAATCAGCACAGCACAGTTGAAGTCCCCAGCCTTAGTTATAGCCAATACCCAGTGCTTCAGGGGAGGCATAAAAACCACCCTGACACAGCAGGAAAAGGGGGCGGGCAACCAGCACAGCCCAGAAACTTGGGAAATCCCCGTGTTAGAAAATAGGTATCACTATGCTTAGATCATCCCTGCCAGTGCCCATCCACCCTCTCCTTGAACACCTCCAGAGACAGAGAGTCTGCACTTTCCCTAAGCATGTATTCCACTGCCTCACTATTTCACAGTGAAGATGTTTTTCTGGATCTCTATTCTAAACCTCCTTTGCTGCAACTTCAAGCCATGGGTTTGCATCCTCCTCTCTGCAGCAGCAGAGAACAGGTGCTTCCTCTCATCTCTCTGGCAGCCCTCCAGATTGCTGTCACATCCCCTCCTAAGCGCCTTTTCCCCCATCTGAACCTGCCAAGCTCCTTCAGCCTCTCCTCTAGGACTTGTCTTGCAACCCCTTTATCCTCTCTGTTGTTGCCTCTGGACCTTCTGTCACTTCCCCACGGCCTTTGTAAAACGTGTAGCCCAGAACAGCAGCTCCCACAGGGCCTGTGCTCTGCCTCTGCTCTCCCGGGACACACCGTTGCATCGCCTGCCTGAAATGTGCTGCTAACAACACACTGCAGCTGAAGTGCCACATGGCTGGAGGATGCCGAATAGAATAAGGAGGACAGGGGAAAGGGAGTCCAGCACAACACTGGGGAAGGGGTGTACATGGGAGCCACCCTCGTATACCAGCTGAGCTCCAAGTTGCCCAACAGCCTGCAGCTGTTTTTGTCCAGGACACGCACACACACACACAGCTGAGGTCCCAGCATATCGTGTTCCACCCCAACCTGACGGCTGCCTTCTGCTCAGGTCAAGCAGAGCAGTTTTTGTTAACGAACACCAGGAAGTTCTGTTTCCTCCAGTGTGGCACTTGTTGCCACTAGATGTGGGGGGAAGCTGAGAGCTCAGCCAGATTCCACAAGGGCTTGGACATGTGCTTGGAAGAAAGGGGTATTGGGGGCTCTGGAGCAGGGAGTGAGGGGCACAGCCTCTGCATCAGACCTGCCTGGACCCTCAATGCTGAAGGCTGCAGGAGAGAAGAACAGGGGAAAAACCTGCTCAGACTGAGGTCACTCTCCCTTCCAGCCTCCACTCTCTGCCCTGTGGGACACAGGAGACCGGGCAAGACAGACCTGGAGTCTGACCCAGCCCATGGCAGCTCTAATGTTCTTAAAGCAATGCACGTTGGGACGTCTGCTCTCTGGAGGCTGCACCTCCCCAGCAGTGAGACGGGTGACTGCAACACATTGCACTTGATGTCAAGGCTTGCAAGGACCTCTGCCCTGTGGCCAGCAGTCTGGGTGTCCCCTGTGTGCCAGGCATCCCCCTGCCTCCCGCCCAGCTCAGTGCTGATGGCCTCACCTGCTGTCCAAAGCCGAGCGCGGCAGGGATGCCAGGGGCGTCCGTCCCAGGCATGCGGCGACGGATCTTCTTGCAGAACTGGCGGATGTCGCTACATGAGGTCTCCAGGTCCTTGAGGAGGATGGCAAGGTCGGAGGCCTCCTGACCTGCCTAGAAAGAGCAGGTGAAGGGGAAGAGAACTGAGCACCTGACAGCCCGAGCACTGTCCCAAGAGCTCATAGCTCTGACTGCTACGGAGCACAGCCGCCTTGTGCCAGCCAGGGGTGGCTTAGAGTGGTACAAGGGGGACAGGATGCCAGCTCACCTGCAGGAAGGAGCGCAGCCGGCCCACCTCCACACTCATACAGTCCAAGGCACTCTGGGTGAACTGCAGGAGAGACAGCGAAGGCTTTAGCTCAGGGCTGGGCAGGATGGGCTGCTGCTCTAGGCCACCCCAGGGCTCCCTGGGTTCAGGGCAAAGAGCCTCTCTGCTTCCAGCCTCACAGGAGTCAGGGCTGCTCTGAGGAAGGAGGGCTTGGGCGCTTGCTGGGGTTTGTCTGGCTGCAGCACCCAGGACAGGCGTGCTCTGGAAGCTTGGCAGCCTGGCTCTCCGCCCTTCTGACTGCCTTTTCCAGCTCATCCGGAGACAACTGGACTTCCCTGTTCTTCCTGCTACCCTGCTGGTAAAATCCATGCCCCCTCCACCTGCCACCACTGAATGGGGAACACTGAGGGACCTGAGCAGATGCTAAGCCCAGGGGAGAAGGGACAGGGACAGAGGGCAGTGGGCCTGGGCTGCATCTCAGGAGGACATGTCCCAGAGCTCCCTACGCTCTGGGAGCACCAGCAGCTCCTCAAAGTCTACTGGCCCAAGCCACGAACCCTGCCCAGTGCCCCAGCCCTGGGACCGGGCCTTCCTGCTAGTTCTTCACCTTAATGTGATCTGCCAGCTGCATTGTGCAGTCCTCTGCCTGGTCAGCCAGGTGGATGCTGTACAAGTGCTGGAAGAAGACCAGACGTGTTAGTATGCAGGGAGCAGCTCCTCCAGCAGACATCCCAGAAGACATCTGCCCGCGATCACTAGCAGGACGCAGACAATCAGTGACTGCTGGAGTCCCTGGTGCCCTGGACCACCCTAGCAAGCTGACTTGCCCCACCTTCCATCAGATCCTCAGCCCCCAGGCTATGCACAGAGCCGGGAAGAAGGTGAATACTGCACCTCTGTAACATTAAAATGACACCCAGCACAAGTGTGCTCCCATCTTGGTCACCTTTAAAGACAATATGAGCGACTAGAGTTTAATCCCAGATAACAAGAGCACGGACTGCCCTCAGTCATCTCCCCAGCTCCCTGGGGCTGAGCATCGGGGGTGGGGAGGACACTGTGTGCATTAGCAGCATCCACAGGACTATGTGGAGTGAAGCAAGAGCCAGGTAATGCCTCTCAGCAGGAGAAGCTGATCCAGAGGCACTCAGCCAAGCGCCAGCTATCAGGCCTCACCAAAGCCCTGGGACAGCAGGAGGCCAGGCACCAGAACCTGCCCCCACATGAAGGCCCTAAAGGGAGAGCCGTAAGTGAGAAAGGACAAGACAGCACAAAGCTGATGCTCTCTGCCAGCGAGGAGACAGGCCAGACTCAGCTGCTGAGAGCAGGCATGGGAAGTGGAACAGCCGCACCATGGAAGAATCAGGACTGATAGGAGCCCTCTGTGGAAGAGACTGAAGCAGGAGAGCAGCTACCAGCTGCTGCTGACTCAGAGGTACTGGGAGTGGGGCCTGCAGCACCAGTCAGGCAATGCTTGCTGCACTGACACAGGCATCTCCACCTGGCTGAGATCCCTGCGGAGCCCCAGGGGAGGGTGGGAAGTTCTGGGTATGTCTCTGAGGTGTTGGGTTGTATCCATGATGCCACCTCTGCCTGAAGAAGAGCGTACTGGAAAGCTTGCAAAGAAGAATTTTTCCAGCTATTTTAGTTGGTCTAATAAAATATATCAGATTTACCCAACGAACCTTGTCTAGGTCCATCTCTGACACTGAGAGGAGCCTGCAAAGCAGCGGTGATTGCAGAAGCTTAAGCCCCCTCCCTCCCCTGCATCCAAGGTCATGGAGCCCAGAGCTCCCAGCCAAGAGGCAGCTGGGTGCACCCTTTGCCTTGTCTCCCCAAAATGTCTTTCTGTACTGAGGACACTGGAAAAGAGACACACGGGCCTGTTTGACCTGGTCACAGCCACTGTGAACTCACTCTGTTCAGGAGGCAGAGAGCAACTCAAGGGAAACGGTCACTGACGGGCACTTGGCTACTTCTCCCGTAGCACAGGTTTAACCAGAAACAACACCCCCGTTGCAGCAAACTACCAGCAGGCTTCACTGGTCCCATCCCAGCAGCTCACAGATGCCCTGAACCCAACTAGCACCCACACAGACAGGCCTGGGGCCAGCGGCCACCTGCCACAGAGCCCTGTCCCACCTGGTAGTACTTGATCGCTTTGGTGAGGGGCTCCACGTTGACGGTCTCATCCAGCTGGTCCTTGTGCAACAGCTCAATCAGGAAGTCCAGGGAGCGCTCGTGCACGCTCATCTCCGGGTAGAGCATCCCCACCTTCTTGTACACCTCCACGCTGCACTTGGTCAGGGCCCTGCCGGCAGGGCAGTGCATGTGGTCAGCAAGGCTGTGACGGGCCACGGGGCTGCGACAGGGCCTGGTGTAGGTGTCAGCACCAGCCCCTCGGGCACCATTTACAGAGGGCCTCACTGATGCAGCTCTGGGAGCACAGAGCCTACGTTCCTGTAGTTGGGCTCCTACAGCAGGGTAGCCCCACGGAGGGGCTGCTTGAAGCCCAGGCCCGGAGGGGTCATGGGAGCCCATATTTGCAGCAGAGTTGGGGTTGCAGGTGAGGGAACCTCAGGAGAGGAGACCTGCAAAGCCTAAGCTGCCCTGGGTTTCTCAGAGGGGATTGGGTAGCCCTGTTGGAAGAGCAGCCACGGCCTTGGGATCGCCCTGGAGGGCATGGAGATGGGGAGATTTGTTGGCATCCCCTTTGGATGGGGGCCTCAGCTGGGGGAAACAGAAGGCTGCCGGCAGCATGGTGTGATACTTACTGCTCATACTTGTGCAGCGTGGCCTGCAGGAGGCTGAGGGAGTAGATCAGGCCAGCAGCAAAGCTCAGCTGTTCACCCGGTGCACCCCGCAGGCCTGTGCGCTCCGCACAGTGCTCATTCAGGTCGAACTTTTCCTGCGCCTGCTTGCTGATCAGCTCAGCCTGTTCCCAGAGAGTGCCGGTCAGAGCCATTCCCTGTGCCCCTCTCCCACCACCACACTGGCCACAGCCCATTCCACACTCCCTGATGCCTCCCCGGATACCTTGCAGATCAGGCGCGGGATGAGCAGCAGCACAAGGATGCAGTCGTGGTCACCCCCATGCCGTAGGAAGCTGTCTGGCATGAAGGCAGTGAGGAGGGATACGTGCCGATTGGCCTGCTGCACCTCCATCTGGCGCAGCTCCATCTCAATGGCCTGTGGGAGATGCACAAAGGCCAAAGGGGTCCCTGAGAGTGGGCTGGGAGCACTGCAGATGCCCCCCACACTCCCACAAGTATGTTAGCAAGAAGCAGGCTGAAGACTAATGAGGGAAAGTGTGTAGTTCGGGGAACACCCAAGGGGTAAGTACTGTAGGGCCAGACTGCAGGCCAGATCCAGTTTCGTGTCTGCTGGAAGCCACAGCAATTACCACTGCTACTGCTCCTCAGACACCAAATTTTCAGACCCAAGGGGAGCTCCACACCACACTGGATGAGACAGTCCCATGGGCTGCATTCAGCCTGCAGGCTGGGGATTCAGCACCACTGGACTAGATGCATTCAGGGATGATAGAGCCATTCATAGCCGTTACAGAGAACAGTCGGGGATTGTCCACAGGCACCTCTAAACCAATGCTGGCGGTGGTCAGAGAGGGTCCGACAGAGACAGATGGCTCTAGAGATCCCCTGCTCCATGAGCTCCCTCCTAAAGCATCTGCTCCTGTACCTGTCAGAGCCAGGCCTGTTATGTAGGTCCTAGGCCTAGGCCCACCGGGAAATGAGAAGCCCCCCTCAGCTGTTAACTGCATAACACCTGAGTACCTGGGACACAACATGAAAAAAAATCAGGACTGGGAGCACAGGTCACAGCTTGCTAACAAGGGCTGTGAGGGGGGAACACCAAGCTGAGAACCCCAGCCAGTGCCCCCTGCCCTTCCAAGGAGCCTGTGGACGTCACACAGTGAAGCCCTGCCTGGAGGGGTGAGGGGAAGACAGCCCTGCAGGCACCTGGTTTCCCTCCAGCCAGCCCCTCCTTTCCAGCCTGGTCCATGGCGAGTTTGGCCACAGCCCAAAGGAGGCTGACCAGGAGGTCCCAGGACTTTGTGGGGCTCCATACAGAGAGGATATAAAATAAAAGAGGTATTGCCGGGGGGAGAGCAGCCAAAACCTAGCTAGGAAGTTCCAGAGGAGGCAGGAGAGAGGTTGTGGGCTGATGCACAAGGCAGGCAAGAGCTGGGGTTTAAAGACAGGCTACTGGGACTGCTGCTATGACCCAGCACAGCACTGGGTAGGCTCTTGAGGTACCAGACAGCAAGCGTGCCCCCTGGCTGCTCCAGAAGCAAAGCCAGAGCCTCCTTCCCTTCTGGTCCCAGTGCTACAATCACAGCCATGAAGGAGACTCCTTGCTGTTACTGACTGCCTATGCTGCAGCAATGCCTGGGGTGCTCCAGTCCAGACCAGGCCTTGCTATGCTGGGGGGTTGTGAGAAGGTCAAAGGGCAGGGCAGCAGAAGAGGTGCATTGGTAGCAACTCAGGAAACATCTGCACCAATAACATCTGCACGTGTCCATGTGCCTCTGCTCTGGGGAAACCTCAGGAGGTGTTTTTTTCAGACCAGAAGGGCACATTTAACCAGACCAGAAGGGCACAATTTTACAGTGCACACAACCCCCGCAGCTCACAGGCCCAGGGCTCCATTTCCACACATGGGGAACAGGGGTGAGCCAGGCACAATGCTCACTCTCTCTTCAGTGAAACTGCTGTGCTGATTTCCAGGGCTCTGGCTGCCTGTGCACAAGGGAGTCAGCAGCCAATAAGGACCCATGCCTGCAACAGCCAAGGTACACAAAGCCAACCTGGGTTGCTGCAAGGTCAGGAACCTTGGCCATCCTGTCCCCAGGCCGCAGCACAGTGCCACCCATGCCTGCATCTGAGAAGTGGTCCCAGGCGCAGCACGTGATGACACACCCCACAAGTGCAGTCCTGATGCAACCCTCCTGCCAGCCCTACCTTGGCATGAGCTTTCGTCTCTGCAAATTTGATCTTGAAGTCGAACATCTCTGGGGGAGGCTGTTGCTGCTTCTCAGCAGATGCTTCCTGCTGGCTCATGAGCTCTCGGTTCACATCCTGGAGACAGGAGAGGGGTGATCAGGGGCACCAAATGCAGGGATCGGCCCCAGGCACACTGCCAGGGACGTGCAGTAGAAGGGAAACCAGGCTTCCAGGGCAGCAAGGCTGAGTGGTACCAACTCCCTCCCGATGACTGAATCCTGTAAACCTGAGACATACGGTCCCTCTGCCCAGGGCTCTGACAGCCTTATGCCTCAACTGTCAGGGGAGGGTGGCATGACTCCAAAGGGCCTAAATGCTGGAAAGTGTCCTGCACTGCAACCTGGGCTCCTCTGTCCAAGCCTCAGCCCATGGGGGACAGCAGCCAGATGAGCAGCTGGGGAGCAAGGCAGAGGTCAGCAATATGAGCAAGGAAGAGGCTTTCCTTGAAAGCACAGCTGGCTGTATGGATAACTGCACCAGGAACCCAGCCTTGAGGCACTGGGAACCTTGTTTGTTTGTCTGGCGGGAGGTCTCTGCCAGGATGCCCTCTCCTCTGACAGAGCTCTTGCCTGCTGAGCTCTGCTCCCTGTCACTGAGGCAGTAGGAGAGACACCAGGGATGGATGGGCACTGGGTAGGGATGATCAAGGTGCAACAATGCCTGTGCTCTGCTGTGAGGATCTCCCAGGCTTCTGGGTTCTGCTGGTTGCCCTACCCACCTTTCTGATCCATGTGTTGTGGGTCTGAAGCCTCCCCCAGAGGTGCTGGGCGCTGGCTGCAGCCCAGGCTAGGGATGAGACTGGGCTGTGCCAATGTTCCTGCTGGCATCAACCCCGCAGGGTCCTGGCTAAAGGGTCTTGCCCCTGTGCTCAGGCTCAGAACGACACTGCACTGGGAGCAGGAAGGGATTGGTACAGGTACAGGTTGGTACAGACTGTGTGCAGGGGGAAAGGTTTTCCTTCCTCTGCAGCAGGGGCACGGCCTCTACCTGGGGTTCCTCGAGTGTATAATGACAACATTACAGTTAGGGCTGCTAGGCTCTGGAATGGGCTCCCAAGTAAGATGGTGCTATTTCCTACCTTGGGGGTCTTCAAGGGGAGGCTGGACAGATATTTGGCTGTGGAGATATGACCCCGGTTAGATGTACACCTTGCTGGGGTCATTTGACCCCAGTACTCTTTCCTGCCATGGCAGGGGGTCAGACTAGATGATCTACTCAGGTCCCTTCCGACCCTACTAACTATGAAATCCCGGAACCCATTCCTGCTTGGGGCAGGGGGTCAGATCTGATGATCTGTTCAGGTCCCTTCCAACCCTAAGCACTATGATACTATGAACATTTTATAGAAGCAGGATGTTGGCTGTTATAGTCCCCCTGCTTCACCTGTGGCAGGTTAGAGTTAGATGTCTATGTTGGGTCAGAGTTGATGGTCGTCTTACATAGAATTCAGAGTATGGGTTGTACAGGATGATTTGGACAGGGCTGACCCTGCCTCAGGCAGGGGCCGGACTAGATGTGACATCAGCAGGTCCCTTTCAGCCCCACTTCTCTGTGACTCTGTCTCTTCCCCCAAGGGGCTGCTGCCATGAAGGGAGCTGTGCTATTGCCTGCCCTTCCCACGGACACCAGGGAGCAGGTCCCCAGGCATTGCAGGGGTGGGGGGCAGTACCTGCAGGTGGGCAGTCAGCTCACGGTACTTCTTGATGGTCTGCTGGTAGTCAGCTACCGTCTCCTGTGCAGCCTCCACGCGCTTTTCGGCCTCGCGGACCCGCGCCGTGGCCATGTCCAGCTGCTCCCGCAGCTCCAGCTCTGTCTCACGGGCATTCTCCTGCAGCTCATCGTTCATCTCATTCATGGCTTCCTGGGGTGGCAAGAAAAAGGAGGGGTTGGTTATACAGCACAGGCTGCCAGGCAAGTGGTGCTCCAGGGGTGGAAGGGACAGCCTGTATGTGCTGACAGAGACCAGCTGCAGGGACTATGGCTGACAGGGCCTTGGGACAACCCCCAAGCTCAGCGAGCTGAGAGGCCCACCTCAGAAAGCACTTGCTGCCATAGATGGGCTGTACCTGCATGGCACCGGTGTCACTGCTGCAGGTCAGTGTAGCAGCCAGGCAGAGAAAGCAACAAGCCTTCTACAGCTTGGGCAGAGTCTGCCAGGGACAACCCAGCGACTGTATGACTTACTAGGTCCCCCACAGTCTCGCGGAGCTCCCGGACCTTCTCCTCCAAGTCCAGATTTCTCTCAGTCAGAGTCTCCACCATCTCCTCAGCACCCAGAGCTGCATCCACCTGTGAATGCACAAGGGTTAACCTGACTTGCTGTGCTGGCTGCCCCTTCCTTGGCTTTCTGCTCCACATGTCAGGGGGGTTTTATGTCTCCCCCTTAGGTGCTGGGTGCTGCTGCAGCCCAGGCTGGGGCAGGGGCTGGGCTGTGCCAATGCTCCTGCTGGCACCAACCCTGCAGGGTCCTGGCTGGAGGGTCTCACCCCTGTGCTCAGGCTCAGCAAGATGCTGCACTGGGGCAGGAAGGGATTTCCCCTCTTCTCAGACTGGTCTGGACTGGGGGGGTTTTGCCTTCCTCTGCAGCAGGGGCATGTCCTGGGCCTAGGCTATCTGCAGCATCCATGACCCCCCGGCAGCAGCAAGACACTGGCAGCCGCAGCCCCCCTGCTTTCCTGAGGGTAGGGGTGGGGGTGATGCCTGGGTCTGTGCCTGTGGCGACTGTTTTGTGCTGCTCAGAGGTGGGACATGGGGTTTGTCTGGGCTGGTTTGGACAGGGCTGATTCTGCCTCAGGCAGGGCTTGGAGGAGATGCCACCTCTGCAGCTCCCTGCCAGCCCCACTTCTCTGGGATTCTTTGATGATTCAAGATCTCCTTCCACACTGGCAGTGATTGGCCTGTCCAGCCCCTCGGTCTATCCACCGGTGAGGTGCCCATGAGGCCTTGGGCAGAGGAGGGGCTGAGTTCAGTGGGATTTTCCAATCCAAAGAGGGGAAAAACACATCAGGGACACAGCGAGCTGAGGCTCCCAAGCAAGTCATTGGAGAACCTGCCTTGGATGCTTACAGCAGCTGGGACCAGGCCTGTATGCACCCAGGCGGCTGTCCCACAGTGATGGGAGCTTGCACTCTACAGCAGAGCACACCCCTGGTCTTTCTTTCTCTCTCCCCCACCCAGCATAACACCAGATAATGTCCATGAGAAGAGCCAGCCCCAGCTGTGCTGCTGTTTAGGCCCTGCGTGGCCTGCTTTCACCTGCAGCAGCAGCTCAGCTCCCAGGGAGAGACCGTGAGGCGCAGGAGTGCCCTCCCTGTGTTGCAGTGAGTACAGACATTCCCACAGGCCTTCCAGGGGTGCCCCTGTGCCCTCTGCCTGGCTAAGAGCAGGCCCCACAGGCACGTTCCTTTCCAGCTGGCACTGGACTGCAATGTCACACAACGCCAGAGGCACTAAAGAGTCTCAAGCATTGGATGCAATGTGCCTCTAACCTTGGAGAGCTGTGGGCAAGTGGGAACAGCAGCAGAGACCAGTGCTGGAGAGGGGCAGAGCCCTGTGGGACACCCTGCTTGCCTTCTGGATGTTCTCTGCAGTGCTGGGGGCTGCAGCAGCCAAGAGTGCTATTCTCGGTGCCCAGTTCACCCCAAGGCCACAGGCAGTGTTGCTGATCTGCTGGTCGGTGGCTCTTGGAGGCCCAGAAGCCCCCTGGGACCCTCAGGGAACTCACCTGCTCCTTCAGCTCATCGATGGTCTTCTCTGCCTGCTTCACCTCCTCCTGCAGCTTCTCCTTCTGCTGGCGCAAGGCCTCCAGCTCCGTGTTCTTCTTTTCCATTTGCTTCTGAAGCTTCACATGCTCCTGCTTCTCTGAGGCAGACAGGTCCCGCATCCTTCAACAGAGCGTGTGCGCTCAGGACTGGCAGGGAGGTGTGGGAACTGGGGCCGTAGCAGCCCTCCCCTCTCCCCAACAGCACATCCTGCCTCAGTCTTGTCGTACTGACAGGGCTGCGCCTCCTTGCTGACACAGCCCTGCTGCCCTGAGAAGGACACTGGAGGGGCTGGCATAGCCGGGGGCAGGGGCCAAGGAATCTCAAGCCACTCCACCCCATAGTGAAGACACCCAAACCAGAAAACTGAATTGAGTTTGCTCTGACAAGAGACATCTTGTGCCCGGATGCAGCTCCAAGTCTGGCTCTTCCCAGGAAAGCAGCAGACAAAGGAGATCCCGAGGCGTAAAACCCAGCCATTGGAGAACATCTGTCCAGACCCAGCAGCGGAACTGTACAGACAAGGCCTTCTGCAAGGCTCCCTGGGGCAGAGCACTGCTAAGCAAGCCTGCAGTCAGCAACCAGCTAGAGCTTCCCCAACACAGGGTCTCGCCCACGGCACTGCAATAGCACTGGTCTCTTTCTTCTGCACCAAGAGGTTGTTCTCTGCTGCAGGTAGAAGCAGTGCCCATGGAAAACAGCCACCAGTGGCACAAGGTAGGAGAGGGCCCAAAGCAAGGAACAGTTCCTGAACGAACCCTGACTGTGGAAGACAGGAGAGGACAGAAGGTGGGCAGTGGTGATGGATGGCTGGATGGCCCAGGGGAGCAAAGTGACATCAAGGAACGCAACTGGGGGGCAGAAAGCACGAGCTAGGACAGCAGAGACAACCAGGTGAATGTGGTGTCTTTGCAAGCTCTCTGGGGCAGAGACCGTTCCACTCCTGCAGCACATGGCAGTGCAGAGGGTCCTGGGACATGGGGACAGAAGCTGGGGGTGGGAAGGATCAGACTCAGGGACGAAAAGGCTGAGAGAGCCCCTGCACTGAGCAATAACATCCTCTAGCTGGTCTCCGAACTCTAGACATGTTGCTGCACCTCCCCACCCTTAGCTAAAGGCTTTCCTTGGGCTGTTTGTGGGGCCTCCAGAGGACCTGGTCCCCTTCTCAGAGGGGCTGGGAAGCTCATCTTACTTGAGATGACTGTCCTTCAGACCTCGGCATGCTGGCTACTTGCTGGGCCAACTTGGGGAGAGGGGGAAGCTAGGGGCAACAGACAGCCCCCAGGGTTTGGCTCTGCTCTCTTCTTTGGCTGCACTGGGGTGATGCTGCCCCCCATTCCCCCAGCCTTCCTCTGCCCATGGCCTTCAGACCATGAGCTCTGTGGCTGGGACCATCCTGCCCGTGGGACCATGCAGCACCAGCCCATTGTGTCACTGCCACGCAGAACAGCAGTGCCCAACTGCAGAGCAGCCCTGCAGAGGCCTTGCAGGGCCTGGCCCCAGCCCAAGGACTGCCTGAGTACTCTCCTGCAGACATGCACAGCCTCCAGCCCACAAAATAGCTGTTTGCAGAGACCCCTGGCAGGGGAACCAGGGAGGAGGTGGCTGCAGACGGCCAGTCCAGAGCCATCAGGACAGACTTATCCAGGCCCTTGGGGCATGGAGCCTCCAGATCCACACCCATTCCCATGCTTCCCAAAGTGAAAGGTGCCTCAGTACTGGGAAGGGCAAGAGGCCACAGGAGGTCTGCCCCCAGGTTTAGACCAAGTCTAAACCTTATGATGAGAGCTCTCACGTGCCCTGGGCCCAGTGATGAGTGGCAGTGGGACCTGCAAAAGCAGGACCCCACAGGAGGAGGACACTGTGGGAGGGCAGCTTTTACCTCACAAGAGCTTCCTTGAGCCTTGCATTCTGCTCCTCCAGCTGTTTGACCTGGTAGCTGGATGCCGCTCCGTCTGAGCCTGAGGGAGGGAAAAAGCAGGGAAGAGAGCCTTCAGCATGGGTGCAAAACACAGTCGCTTCCCCATACAGCACTTACAAAGCAGAGGGGATTTTGACTTGTGTACATGACAGCCGAAGGGCAGGGGCTGGCGGACCAGGACAGCTGTTGCTGCCCTCCCCTGGCTGGAGCCGCTGCAGCTGGCCCCTGCCTCTCAGGGCTACTGGAGAGCATGAGAAGTTGAAGTGGCCAACCTGCGCTGCATCCCGACAGGCCCACTCCTCTTGGTCGGTCCCTTTTAAAACATAACAGCAGCAGCAGAGCCAGACTGGATCAGACCAATGGTCCCTCTAGCCCAGTGTCCCGTTGCCAACAGTGGCAGGGGTCCATGCCATAGAGGAAGAGCACTGAACCGGATCTTTCAAGTGATCCATCACCTGTTCAATACCAACCCCTGGCTTCCACCAGCACTGGGTGAGAGATGCCAGAGGAAACGTCTCCACCCATTCTGTTCCACAGCCACGAAGAGATCCATCCTCCAGGCCTATGTCCAGCCCCTTGCTGAGCTCTCTGCCCCCACCCTTCCTGGGGCAATGAAGTCATTGCACATTGCATAGAAAACTCCCATCTTTTGTTGGTTTTAAACCTGTCACCTGCTCATTTCAGCAGTGCCCCCTGCTTCTAATGTCCTGGGACTTGTGGAACAACAGGTCCCTGTTCAGTTCCCCAGGTTCCCTCTTCCCCAATGAAGACCCCACTTATTGAGCTGCTTGCTCCCATCTCATCATGTCGCTCTGCTCCTTCCTCCTCCTCATGCGGACTCAGGCCGTGTCAGTCAAGCAGTGCTGGAGGCCCTCACATGGCCTGCCCCCTACTTGCTGGCAGAGACAGCCCCTTGATGTCAGAGCTCCAGAGCTGCTCACGGCCTGGCCAATGCAATCCTTTACACTTTATCTTGTAAAGGAGAGAAGGGCACAAGCTCATTACAAAACTCAAGGAAAGGACGTCTCTGGGATGCTCTGGTTCTGCCCTGTGTGCACAGGGGCTCCACAAGCCAAGCAACTGGTGTGGAATCAGCAAAAGGCACAGACCCCGTGTGCTCTGCCAGCATATGGCTCACCCCAGAGATCGTGGTAGGTGCAGTGCTCCAGGCCCAAGCCCCCCGTGAAGCTTCCCCTCCAGCTACCTACACCACGATGGTGAGGCTCTGGCCAGCAGACCCTGAAGCAAAGGAGATGGCAAGCTCTGGCCTATCCAGGAAGTCCTGCAGTGCCACTGAATGCTGGCTTGCTGCTCCCAACTGAGCTGCCTGCCTATGAGGGCCCTACTTGTCTGGTGGGGTCAGGAAACCCAACTGTACAGAGGGCCCAAAACATTCAGCTGGCTGTGGAAGGAGCTATCGGAGCAATTCCTGGCCCCACGAGATGGGTGGTGAGCCTCCTTGCACCAGGTCTTTACGCTGCATCTATCACAACAGCATCTCCAGCACAGGTCTGCCTAGGAGGGGGCACCCCCACCAGTTGCTCTCACCTTTCTCCTCGATCTCATGCTTCAGGATCTCCAGGTCCATGGTGAGATATTCCACCTTCTCCTTCAGGGAGTCCACCTCCTGCTGCAGGGACTCGGCTCGCTCCTCCGCCATCTCCTTGTCCAGAGTCGCCATCTCAATCGCATCTGCTGTGTCAGCCATCTCCTCCATGTAGCGCTCCTTGGCTTCCAAGGCATCTTTGGCTTCCTGCAGGTGGGCAGAAGCAGGGTGAGGAAGCCTGGCACTGACTGGGTAGGAATGTTACCTGCACCACAGCCAAGACCACCCGCAAGCTGCAGCCATCAGGCACCCCCAAAAGGGAGGAGAGTTCTGGCTAGCAACTGCTTGCATGGCTTTTAGGAGAGGAACTACCGCCATCACTTGAAACTGCCCCACTCTGGTCTTCCACCCAGGAGTGTCTCCTGTTCTCACCTCAGCATGTGCCCCTCAAACCCCTCCCACACCCCCAGACTCCTCTTAGTGGTAACAGAAGAACAAACAGCCAGCAGTGCCTTCCACCCCACAATGAGAGCGTGGATGAGGAAAGGAGAACAAAGCCAGGCACCAGCCAGGAGAAGGCTTAACCTGCAGCATGGAGAGTGCCTGACTGCTCCTTCTGGCCAGCCACACGAGTCCTGTTACAGCCATGAAAGCCTATCACCTACAAGCCCGTCATGGATCAGAGCCATTTGTGCTAGGTGCTGTCTGTGCAGAACGAAGACAATTCGAGCAGCTCAGACCACGATGGAGGCAGCAGCTAGGCACAGATCAAGTCTGACTGCTCCCCAGGTAATGGAAGCGGGGGTGGTCACATGATGGAGCAAAGGGGCCATTGCAAGAACCACCCCAGCATACTCAAATTGCTGGAAAGATGCATTCTGCCTTGGAAGCAGCTTCTCAGTTACTGAAGAGGTCTAGCTCTAGCCACAAATACAGAAATAAATAGCAAAAGAACAGCTCTGTAACAACAAAAGGAAACCCTCATCCCAGAGGCAAGAACAACAGGGACCGTTTTTGCAGGATGAGGAGAGAGGAGCTAGGGCTGATGAGCAAGAGCACAGGTCAGCAAGCACTCCCTCATCGCAGAAGAGATGGGCATGGGGAGCTGCCTGCGAGACAAAGGAATAAGCAAGGCAGATGCAGTCAGATGTCTCTTGGGAAAGCAAGACAGAGCAGAGGAACTGGAGCTCCCTGTACTGCTGCGAGCCTCTGGCTGCCTGGCTGACAATGCAAGGGTGTGGGGCAGAGACCTAACCTCCTGGGAGGGAAAACTGCCAAACTGGGATGCTTCGGCAGGCACAGTGTTCCAGGGAGAGGCAGGACAGGACAGGACAGGACAGGACAGAACAGCTCTACACATAGGTGAGGAAGGCCACGAAGAGAAACCTGAGCACATAGGCTGGTGCCCAGCAGGGGCTGCCTGGGAGAAGAACATGACTCCAGAAATATCAACAGTGGGATTATGAGCTTGGAGAAAAGGGTGACAACAAGGGTTGGAAATACTTTAATGGCAGGAATAAGCAGTGAGGATCACAGGGTCCAGGCTGGAGCTGGCATAGCAGTTTGCCATCAAAGTCCAGAGCCTCTGAAAAACTCCCCATGGGGCCCTGAACCATGCTAGACAAGGGCAGTTCTCTGCATAATGAGCTCTGATGGGATTCACTAGCTCGTTCCTGACACCAGGGAGTGATCATGGCTCACTGGCTAATGGCTGTAATGCCAACTGATTTGAGACCTTACCTGCAGAGAACAGGGCAAGCATTAGATAACATCAAGGGCAAGCAGAATTAATGCCTGCTATGAAAAGTCCAAACTAAAGCACCCTGGAAGGCCTATTACAGGAAGGCTGCATTTAAACCATGAAGCATATGTGAGCTAAATCAGCAAAGCAGCCTTCCCATGGTGAGAAGTGCCAGAGAAATGCCATTATCCACTTGCCGGGGCACTGAAGCAGGCAGAATAGATTCATATTCCTACCAGATGCTTTTGAAGGCATCAAAGTTCAGAGCCCCCTTGCTCAGCTCAGAGAAGATTCCTGCAGACTGACTTACCTAGTCTGAGAACAGCTTCTTGCAATACCACAGTTGGCTTTGAGTTTGCATCTGAATAGGTCAAGCAAAATACAGCCAAGCAACTGGCATGAATGCCGCAGTCAGGACGAGACAGGCTTGGGATGGAACTGCTCTTGCTCATGAAGGCTGCATGCCAACTTGATGATCGCTGTGTTTGCTGTTGGTGTGATACAGGCAGGGAAAGCAACTTGGTCTCTGTCTCTGCTTCATGGGAACCACGTCTCCTCAGCATGGGGAGATGATGCCAGGTTCTGATGGGGATCCTGAAGAACGCAGGACCCCTCAGATAGGTGGAACAGAGGACCGTGAAGGGACAGGCCCTGCTCCAGCCCATGCCAAACTCTCAGCAGTTGGCCTCCCAAGCCCACACCTGGCAGCTTGGTATTTGCTAAGCAGCACAAGCAGGCTGAAGCCTAAAGAAAACACCTGAGGTGCAACCTGGAATCGAGGGGACCAAGAGCTTTGGGACTGACGTCAGCTGATCTGTTATCAGACAGCAAAGACCTAGCAAGGGGTCTGCCTCTTCCTTCTCATTTGCAGGATGAGGACTGGAGAGGTGGAGTGTGAGATGAGGAGAATCGTCCCTTGGAAGGAGAGTGGTGTCTGTACAGGCTAGAAATGCACTCAAACATGTGTCCACTGGAGGGGCAAGTGCAGCACAGGTAAACACATCTGTGCTAACTGTGATCTAGCTCTCTGGCTGCTTGTGGCTCCATGTCAAATATTCGATGCACCCAGCCTCCTGGAGCAGACAGACTTAACACCAACCATCTCATGCTTATACAAGTCTTCCATCACTCAACACCCATTAGTCTGACTCAGCATTTGTAGCCTAGAG